TCCTATTTGAAAATTAGAAAAGCTCAGAGGAGGAAGAGGCTGTTAAAATATAAACATGGTCACTTCCCCTCATATAAACTCACAAATAAACTGCATAAATCTGTTTGTAACTCTTTTATACAGTTGCACACCTGCTACATTGCTCTCTTCAAAAACAGATCCCATCACTGGACTGTGTTTTCTCAGAGCAGAGCTTTGCACTACACTGCCTGTGAACTGCAAAGCTCAAGCCCAGACTCTTCTTCCATCGTCAGCAGTGTACACCAGACACAGACTGTCCCAGAACCTGTGGACGAGGGCCCTCCATCTCCCCCCAGCCACTGCTGCATGAGCGGCTGTCATAACTGTGTGTGGATCGAACACGCTGAAAAACTGCTGAAATATTACAGCGATGGTGGAGACAGAGCTCTGGCAGCCATTGAGGAGAACATTCTCGATGACAACCTGAAGGCTTATCTTAAAATGGAGATCAAGTTGCTGAAGAAGTCCTGATGATAGTGAACTTGGGTGGAGATTTACTGAGAGCAGATTCAGAGTGTTTCATAGCAGCAACTATTTGGTCTGAGTCTGTCAAAAACACGTCCCGGTCATATTTCACCTCAAAATCAAAAGGAAAAACATATATGTTTTATTGCACGAAGACTATAAATCTTAATTCTAGGAACACAAAAAAAAAATGTTCATGACAATTGACAACTTTCCTCCAAAATCCTCATTTTTGTAATGCATGCAGTCTAGGAACACAAAAAAAAAATGTTCATGACAATTGACAACTTTCCAACAAAAAAAAACATTTTTGTAATGCATGCAGATGTTTTATTTCTGAGTTTTTTTGTAATGTCTTTTATAGTATAAATTTGAGAACAACAATTTGATGAGATTATGGTGTTTTTTCTTTCAGTATTCTTCACAGAATACAGTACAGTTTATAATAATGGAAATATACATATGAAAATGTTGTGAATTTTTAAGGCAGTGTTCAATATTACTGGCCTACAGAACTGACAGATCCGACTATACCCATGATAAAACCTTATCTAAAAAAACATGTTTTTTCTTTAATATTTTGAAAACAATAATAAATGTTGAAGATGTTATGTATTTATAGATAAGTTTTATCCTTTTGTATATTAAGAGAGTGTACAGTTTCTTATTTATCACTTATTTAATGTGATGTGTAACTATTAGTCTCTTGTGCTCACCAAGGATGCATTTATTTGACAATAAATAAATTATTTAAATTCAAATTCATTTATTTTAATTCATTATTTTAAATTACAAATATATACACACACACACACAGAAAAAAACGTAATATTGTGAAATGTTATTACAATGTTTTTTTTTTTGTTTGTTTTAATATATGTCTTTTTTTTTTTTAGAATTTGCTTTTGTAATTAATAAAAGTAAATGTTACTCCAGTCTTCAGCGTCACGTGATCTCTCAGAAATCATTTTAATATTGTTTGGTGCTCAACTTCACATATTTTGTTATTATGTTGAAAACAGTTGTGCTGCATAATATGTTTGAAGAAACCGTTATACATTTTATTTAAGGATTCTTGATTAATAGAAACTTCAAAAGAACAGCATTTATTTAAAACAGAACCTTTTGTAAATGTTTTATTGTCATCAATTTAGTACATCCTTGCTCAATAAAAATGTTAACGTCTTTAAAAATCATGTTTTAATTTACATGTGGAATATTTTATGCATGTATTCCACAAATTAAATGTGAAATAAAATTATCCTGTAAAAGTTTACATACAAATGTTTAAATACTCTTGTTCTTATGTGTTTCTTCCTTGAGCATCACTGACTGCTTGTGACTTTAAGGATCTCAACATCATTGAGTCTATTGCTTGCAACCTAATCAAAGATTTTACAGGACCTGGGGTCTCATTTATAAAACTCTCCGTAGATTTCATCCTAAAAGTTTACGTATGCACAAAAGCTAGATTTTGCTGATTTGATTTAGTACGCCAGAACCTGCGCAAAAATCCATTTATAAATCCCAGTCAGGGGAAGATTGTGCGTACGTGCATCTCCACCCCGACTTCTCCCCGAAATCACCATATATGGGTCTTACAACGCCTAGTTTTATTATGCATAACCTCATCTGCATATCATTTCCATGCATATTCCCATCCACGTGATACCATATTTAACACCGTTAAAGGTACAAGACATTAAGGAAATATGAGATACGGACTATAAATGCCATTTGTGCCATACACATTTTTTATTGCTAAAAATCATCCAGTATCCTTGTTATGTTTTAGCATAAATATATCAAAATCCATAAAAAAAACTGTTTAAAGTAGTTCTCAGATAAATATTTTAGAATAGCGTTGATCTCATTCTTTCCCACTGGCCAAATAGTATTTCAGTTGTTTTAATTGTTTTAAACGATACAAATCAAATTTAATTTATGCAGTTTTGCTGATAAAGTGAACATCTTTTAGCTATTTTTAGCCTATATTTATTGCAGTGTAAATAGAATTGTCTGACTCGGCGCGTCACTGACAAAGTAGCCTATTTTAAAAAGAAAACATGCAAATTACCATTTTCTTCAAGTTGTATTCTTCAAATACAGTGATATTTTCATAATGTTGTGGAGTTGCCTTCACACGGCATCAACACCGTGCAGCTGTGGTTGTACAGTAAGCTATTATCATTGGTCCTATAGCGCATCCACTAAATATGTCTAAATTCATATAATTTTTAACTTCTGCGTAATGACTTTATGTAATTTCAGTGCTTATCTCCATTAATGAGAGTGGAATATTTAATGTAAATGTGTATATCGAAATGAAAACAGATTTTAAAATCGTTGTTTAGCTACTTCATTACTTTTCTCTCTCCAGGAAAAAGAGTGCGTACGCATGGTTTAGAATGTCCGTACGGTGCGTACATATTTACGCCAAGTTTATTTTTTATAAATCCCGATATGTGCGTGGAAAATTGCGTACGCAATTTCTATGCCCATTTTGTGCGTACGCAATGTTTATAAATGAGACCCCTGGACAGGGGCGTAGATTACGCGGGGGTATCTGATCAGCAGTTATCTGATTTCTAAGCCAATTAAAAAGCTAGAAATTAGAGAAAAATTAAAGTTGACAATAGGCTACACTGCCAGTCAAAAGTTTTTGAACAGTACGATTTTTAATGTTTTTTAAAGAAGTCTCTTCTGTTCACCAAGCCTGCATTTATTTGATCCAAAGTACAGCAAAAACGGTAACATTTTGAAATATTTATACTAGGCTATTTAAAATAACTGTTTTCTATTTGAATATATTTTAAAATGTAATTCTGTCCCCCTCACTTCTGAAATGATGGCTACGCCCCTGCCCCTGGAGGCTTTTTTGTAAAACATTAGGCGGCTTTACCACCAAGAACAGTCCAGGGATGTTACAATAATAAAAACCAAGGTATGTAAGAAAATCTTGTGTAATTTCAGTAGCTATTTTGTCTTGATCAGTAATGCATGTGTTTTGTGTCAGTATACCTCCATTGAGAAGGACTGAACAAAAGAAAGGCCTTTATGATGACTTAGTAAACTTATGAGTAAATCTCTATGTATAGATTCACACCTAAATTCTTCTAACCAATAACTGTACCCAAATGCTGATTGTAATGTAATGACTGATCATATGTTTCCCTCTCTGATCAGCTCTTGTGGCATTAGAACCCACATTGGCTGGCTCTGAATAGTCATCAGGGTTGCCTAGCAGCTTAGATTGATCATGGCATTGGCAGGCACTTGTGGTTCTTTGACGACAGTCATCCTGATCTGAGTACCTGTGAGTCAGCATATGAGGGCTTGATGCCGCGTGCCGGTCCGAGACATAAGAGCAGAGCTGTGATCCAGCTGCTTGAAGGATTTGTGATGAATGACGTGAAAAGTGGTTAGATATTCTGAGGACAAGATGTACAGAAGACAGTGTGATACTGATTCATGGATGTCATTAATGGCACTGAAGTTTGAAATGTTTTCTTCCTCTTCGACTTTGAGCAGAATTGAGCATGCAAACATAAAACAATTCCTCTGATATATGAATAAAATATTTATGTATGTGTGTGTGTGTGTATTCTATTCTATTCTATTACTTTCAAAGTGTATGTTAAAAACTAGCAATACTATAAAAAATAATACTGTATACATTTATAATATATTTTTATATTATACATTTATTAATATATATTTGTTGTGTGTGTATTTAACACACACACACACACATACACACTTATTGTAGATAGAGAGAGAAAGACAGAGGAATCGATCTATTCATACAAATGTTTATAGTATATTATATATGTATACTAGTAGTTGTTATTTTTAAGATTTTAAATTCTAGATTTCTGTATCTACTGTAAACATGTACATTTATAAATGTATATTTTATATATAATAAATAAATGCTGTGTGTGTGTATATATATATATATATATACACACACACACACACTTTTTTCAATCAGGTGTTTGGAGGGTTGGTGTGGATATTAGTAGCATCGACGAATGTGTCAGTGCCATTGTTGCAGGGATGGG